TTTGAAGTTTTACTATTGATCTTAATATGTAGTAAGCACTGCCGAGGTATTATAACATAATTATTTTGATAGTTAAGCAACCGTCAGTATAACAATTTTTATTCGTTATATTTGTGCAAAAATTAGATGTGGTCGGCCAGTTTATTAGATACGATTGAAACCTATGTTTTTGGAATGCGCATGAGCCCCTTCGTTGCCACTATGAACTAATTATGGTTTTCAAAACAGTTCAAGACTGAAGACTTTATGTTGTTCTTCATATTGGACCTTAAGTTTGCAATGAATGGAACCATAGTGATAAGTATAATTTATATACTTATTCAGGTCGTTAAATTAGAGTATTGTTAATAAATTACATGAAATATAGCTTAATTTTATGTAAATATTTCTTTGTAGGAATACATCGATGATTTTGGTGAAATTGGAGGGAACAAGCAAAAAGGGACCTATTTGAATCAAATCCAAAGTCTAGGGACTGAAATACAATAATTCAAAAGTTATATCGGACAACATAGTGAAGGTCTGAAAGGGCGAGGGGTTAATTGAACTAAAAATGAAGGAAATAGGTTGAAAAAGAATGGAAGAAGGATCAAAGTGAACTGCGAAAAAAATCAGGGACCAAATTGTAAATTTGGACCCTGAAGATTAGCCTATGTGGTTGCTTGGCAATCGAGTGGTGCGGCCACATGCATGCATGAAAGATCAAAAGGTCGCCTTAAGACCTCAACCATTCGATCACATGGATTAATGCCAGGCGACCACAAGGCTTCCGAAGGAAAAGAATTTCTTTTTTTCTTTATTTTGTTCGAATGAATAGAGGCCATCCAAAACGCTTTTAACTTGGATTCTAGCATACTTATAGAAAAAATAAAGAGCTTTCAACATAGAAGAAGCGAAATTGCACATCTTTCAAGTCTTTATCGTATTTCTTACTTTGGGTGATGTTTTTTTTTAATTATTTTTTGTAATTTTCATAGAATCATGTCGGGCTAAACTTTTTATGTGTTGGATGGATGATGTAACTGTTGATTTATTGTTTTTTTAATTAAGATATTATGTTTTAGTTAATTCTTGTGTTCTTGATTAAATATCCATGAATCTTGTGTTATTTGAATGTTTGGCCATTATTTAGATAATTAGTTACTTATTTGTAGTGTTGAGAGACTCACAATAGGTAGAACACTGCATATTTAATATACGGACAATAGACATTAGGAATAATATTTATAGTGTGTACGATCGCGTGTGATAATTATGTGAGTAAATGCATGTTTTTCATATAAATTTGGATTAGGAATATGATCTGGTCATATTAAACAATTTGATATATTTTGAAAAAAAATATTGAATATTATTGAATTATCGATTTCCATGAACACTTAATCACACCAATTAAAATTAGAATTAGACATCAATAAGTGGAGTCGGAAATCCAATACATTCATTTCGTCATTTGATAAAAAAAAATCAAATCTTTATTACTTTTATAGTTTAAAGTAGAATAATAAAAAAAAAAAATTATTTTTTGTGTTATACTTATCGAATTTGGTAGTAACTATTACTACAATTAAATGTTATTTCTCGTGGGACAATACTTTTAATTCGCTAAATCTATTACTTATTAACGATCTCGTAAGCTTGTAAGTTTTGTCTGAACAAGTTTTTGGCCTTTGCGGGAGAAGAAATTGTTTAATTCCAGTTTATTAGTTGATATTAGATTCATTTTCCTTTTTTGTTTTAGGCTATTCATCATACCACCACATTTCATTTTGTTTTATTTCTTTTAGGTTGTCAACAATATATGAAAGATTTTGACGAGATCGAGCTAGCTCGTTTAGATCCCGAGATAGAAAGAACATTCAGAAAGCGTAGAAGTGAACAAAGAGAAACAAAAAAATGACTGAGAATTAGAATCCAATTCAGGATCTAATTCAGGCCCACCACAAGATCAACAAAGACTTATCGCCAATGAGTGTTGAATCTTAGTCGGGGATTACATGAATCCAGTGCCTACACCTGTGCAATACACAATCATATACCCTCATCCGAACAAGCCAACTATCATCTACGACCTGATATTATAAATCTTTTCCAGAATCATCACGACATCAAGTTTTTTGGGAAAGCTACAGAAAATCCACATGAGCATGTTCAAGCTTTTTTGATGTTGTGTGAAGTCATCAGCCACGAGAGGATGTCTACAGATACCTTTCGAATGCAATTGTTCCTTCACACCTTGAAGGAGGGCACATGAGAATTGCTCAAATCCAAAATTAAGTACATAACCAAGATTGAAATTGCAATCCAGAATTAGCTAGCCCTTATCCAAACTTTAGAAATTAAGTGGGACAAACAACAGTTGCAATAACCAACAAATCACATGGTACCCTGCTAAGTGACACATAGAATAATCTACGGGAACAGGTATTAGCAGTGCATGCGATGAACTATGCAATTATCGAACTACCATCATTCAACCCTGCTACCATGTCCAAGCTTATGTGCCACCCATTCCATTTCCTCAAAGGTTGCGGAAGCAACTAAAAGAGGACCAGATTCAGACCTTCACAACTAGGAGTAAAGTTCAACTGCCAAAGATCAACACAAGAAAGAGACTGAAAGTAATTAGGTACCTACTATGGGCGAGGAACAAGTGGATTCGTCTGAAGAATCAATAGAGATGAATAAATAAAAGCTTTCAAACAGTTCACATGTTAAGGCAACTGTTCCTATGAATTCACATACGCCTCCAAACCCTGTTTTCTCCAAGGTAGCAAAAACAACAAATTGGAGATGCAGTTCACAAAATTCTTAAAGGCACTCAAAAAGCTGCACGTCAATATTCCTTTCATTGACGTAATCATGCAAATTCCAAACTATTCCAAGTTTTTAAAAGAGATGTAAACTAAAAAGAGGAAGCAGACCGAACATGAGACATTGCATTATATGAAGAATGCAATGGAATCCTACAGCACAAGATATTGCCTAAATTGACAGATCCATGAAGTTTCAATCTACCTTGCTTTATAGGGAATTCACATAATATAAATGTTTTAATTGATTCGGGGGCAAATATTAATCTGATGTCATTGCCAATTTATAGAAAATTAGGTTTGGGAGATCCAAAAGCAACTTCAGTAATCCTACAGTTGGCTGGCACAACACTAAAGCACTCTTTTGGAGTGGTTGAAGATATATGCTCATCAAGGCTAGAGACTTTATTTTTCCAGCTGATTTCACTATCCTTGACATAGAAGAAGCACATCAGTTGGCAGTATCTTGGAAAGGCTATTCTTATCACTTGGTTGTGCCTTGTTATATTTTGATACAAGTGAACTAATCTTGAGGGTGAAAAACAAGCAACATAGTTTCACTATGAACACTCCACTCAAATAACTATCATAACTTGAGGATTTTAGGAAGGTGAAAATCGAAAAGAGGGTTGACTATACAAGTCATCGCTACAAAAAAAAGCCATTGATGGACTAAAGGATCAATATGAAAACTTTCAGCATTGGAGAGTCAAGGATGAGGCTGAATATGTCTACCATTTCAGCCGTTGTAAGGCCGATTATTCCCCTTTCAAACCACTTTGAATAGCCAAAACAACAAAGTCAGGCTAAGAACAATAAACAAGCGCATATTAGGGTAACATGTATTAATTTATAGCAAAACCATATCACAGTTACATTTTTTATTATCGTGTATTTTCTTTCCTCCAATTTCATCATTATTAATTGTAGAAAGGAACACAAAACTCCTATATATTTACAAGTGAATCATGATTAGGTATTCCATCGAGATTATTAAGGAACGGATGGAGAAACGAATATATGATCACATAGCTCACTGTATAATCCAATTGAATGACACATAATTCGCTGAACATTTAAGCATGAAGGCATTTAAAATTACTCTACTCATAACAAATCTCTTCCTTAAAATCATGCAAGAATATTAGGTTTCTCCATTTCACTAGAAACAATTACGATTAGACATTTTATGTTTGGATTGATTTTGACTCGTGAGAACAAAAACTTTATTTCAACTTGTGGAGGGAGTAACACATGAAGTCTTCAAGTTGAAGGTTGGGAGCAATGGGAATTACAAAGGAAGACATTTTTTTTTGTTTTACATGTTTATTTAATTTATTTGGTTTATTTAAAGATAAGAGCAAAATTATTTACTAAGGACTCCAATGCTACAAAAATCAAAAGTTGGAGATGTAAATATTCCCTTTTTAAATGTTGAGAACCAAAATGCATTGCATATTCAAAGTTGAGGACTTTTGTATCTATATATTTAGTCACTATGATGATGTAATATCAATAATGCGACAGTTTACGTGGAATAATGATATTGAATATTTCATTTTTATGAGGAAAAAGGGAGGAGGGAGAAAAATGCGAAGAATAATGAGTTGTCACATCATCTACATTTCATCATCATAATGATAAATAACATTACTCATTCAAAAAGACTAATCTCCAATCTAGCTAAAAAGATAAAACTGGTCCATAAAATAGCTATTATTTGGAGCAAGTAAAGACGTAGCTTAATACTTAGTAGAGAGAAGACTCGTGCGTGTTCCATATATTTTAGTTTTATTTCTTCGTTTCATTCTCATTGTTTTCAATTGAATCTGCAAATCAATAAATTTCATCTTTAATTACGAAAAATTAGTAACATTATACAATCATATGTTAAACGTAAAAGAAATACATCAGTTTGAAAATATAGATTATTCCATGAAGCCATATGTTAAAAAATGAGAGAGAAAAATGGCAAGATTCATATTTTACAAATTTTGGTTGAACACTATTCTATATAACTTATACCCTCGGCAGAATCAGAGGAATGTGAAAGAAAAAACTTATACTCTTTAAAAAAAAAAAGGAAGTTTATGGCCCTCAAAAATCGTTCCATCACTTCTATGAAAAATAAGTAATTCCAGCCTAAAAAATTTCCAGAATTCTGAGTTGAAAAGCAAAAACGTTGCTTCAAAAATTCCAAAGAAATGAGTCTTGAGATATATTATCAGTGTTCTCAGGCGAGTAATCAGGCAATGGCGCCGTCAAAAAATCGTTGGAAAATTCATCAAAACCCGGAAAATTCCCGAAATCCAGTATGGAATTTTCATTTCCTATTGTCAATAGCTGATCCAAGAATGCATTGTCCATAGGTATTTCCATAATCTCCCGGTCCAACTGAACCGCTTCATCGGAAACCGACGGCGAAAGGGACTCTAATAATTCAGAAGACGAAATCGAAGAAGAAGAAGAAGAAGAAGACGGATCAGCTCGATTCGAATCCGAGTGTGCAAAGCGGGCCGCAGCCGCTTGGATTTGAACCGGCGTCATCGACCTCCCGTTAACAATTTCCGGCGGATTATCGGGAAAATTGAACTTAACATTCTTTCCCCGAAGACAGAACAGTGCCGCATCAAAGGCACGAGCCGCCTTCTCCGGCGTGTCATACGAGCCAAGCCAAATCCTTTCCCTGCTATTGGGCAGTCTAATTTCAGACACAAATTTCCCCCACTTGCGCTTCCTCACTCCCTTATACTTAGCAGAGGAATCATTAGATGGCTGCTGCTGTTTTTGGGTCACTGATTTCACCATTATTCAATTGAAATTAAATAATTTCTGTTCGCTTCTGTGTTGGGGGAAGAAATGGCGGCTTTGTCGCGTGTATATATACGAGTATGTAACAGTGAGGAGTGAAGAGAGTCAAAAGAATGTCCGCGTGGAAAGAGGAAAGAAGTTTAGAACAACTACGCGGTGTAGTGTAAGACCACATGGAGAATTTCATATGCACGTGTACATACATACTTGAAATGCGTAGAGCCAGGAAGGAGGATAAAAAACTACATTTATTTATTTATTTATTTTTCCTTTTTGGTCTAAAATCATTATTTTCGACAAGTCTATGTTCAATCTTCCCGAAATTAACGGTATTCATCCAAAATGTGACCTGCTCGTGCAAAATTAAAATGGCCAAACTTGTCATTCTAAACGTGGAAAATAAAGATATCAGTCTCGTTCTCCTGCCCGCGGCGGGAATGCTGATTTTGGAATAATCTATTTCGTTATCTGCTCCCGTTCTCCTGCCCGCGGCGGGCAAGTTTATAATGCCCACTCGGAGAGAACCCAACGTGGGGTTCTCACATTTGAAAAGAACCCCACGTAGGGTTCTCCTGCCACATCAGCAGGTGAGCAGGATAAGCTTGCCCGCCGCGGACAGGAGAATATTTTCGATAAAGATATATCTGATCACAAAGTTTTTGTATGCTCACAAGACATAAGTTGAATAAAAATCACATCATTGTTCATCGTATCTTGTCCTAACATTTTTCATTTTGAGATATTGAAATAGTTACCTTTTGTTTTGATTCACCGGTAGGCTACCAATCAAAGGAACTAATACACAAGTTGCAAATGTCGATGCATAGATATGAAGCACGTGTAAATGATTTGCAAGTCGAATTGAACCAATAACAGAGATGGGAAGTTCAGATGAACAAAACAACAGTTCTACGATTTTCAATCTCAACTAATTGCGGAGCCGAGAAGCACAAATGAATGATATGTGTTGAAAGAAGCGGAGATGAACGAAATGAGAGCTAAAAAGGAGAACCTGTATTGGGTTGGATTTGGAAAATTTGGATTTTTCTTCTAGTGTCATATGTAATCTGAATATGTCTTCAATACTCTGTAATTAATAATTTCATGTTCTGTGTTTAAATTGAAAAAAATGAAATCTTACTGATATAAATTTTGTTTATAAACAAATGTAGCCATCAGATTTGGTTTACATTGGAAATACAAAAGATTGCTGACCATGTATGCAAATTGGAAATAATAAGTTCAAATTCTTATCACTTTTCTAGAAGGATAAGTTTTTCATGCTTTTTGTATTATCACAAAATTAAAAAGTATAATTGAATTAGGAATGTCAATGAGTCAAGTTGAGTCGGCTTATGAGTCGAAACTCGAAGATCGGACTTGACTCGATTAAAAATTATTTGATTTTTTTTTTGGTTTGCTCGGTCAAAAAATTTAGGCTCAAGCCTTATAAAGGCCATGCTGCCTGATATTACAAGTAGCTACATGTATCTGCTTGTGTGTGTAGCTGCCAAAGCTTTATTTTATTTTATTTATTTTTCTAAATTTGCTCACAGTTTGAAAATGGCCTGTGTAGCTGGAGCCACGCTCCAAAATGGGTCTCGGTCCCAGTCACGAGCCGCGTCGACTCGGGCTTTTTTAGAGCCGATCCACGGGCCGCCAAACCGGGGAGGCCAATTGACGCCCCTAAATTGATGTTGCAAATGAACCCTTATCCTTCAATTTATAACATAAAATAAATATGGATATGTTTTATTAACCGTCCCTAACCATCCTTTCAAAAAATTTATTTATAACTTTTTTTTTTCATATTAATACAAAACTCAACGTTTGATTGATTTTAGCAAGGTTTAATCCTTATGAATCATAATGGTTAAAACAATTCATGACTTCTCAAAATGATTCTCAAGAAACTCTTACGATTTCTTCCCAAAGTAAATGATTTTATTAAAAAGAACGTAATATAAATTATTATGTATAAAATACGACTATGTTCCGTAATTCAGATTTTAAAAGCTAATTTGTCAAAGAATCTAAGTCCCTGTTTGGTCCCCATTATTTTGTATTTTTTGGGGGTTGAAAATTTTTAGAATAGTGATTGATGGGAAAATGTGTGGTTGAAATTTTTTTGATTTGTGTGTAATATTATTTTATTTGATGAATGTGTGATTGAAATGAAGAGAATGAAAAATTTAATATAATGTAATGTAATATAATTTAATGGGGGTCAAACAATGGCTAAATTGTCATGAGTTGAACCTTCCTCGTACTAGGTGTTGGAAATTTTGGCGAGAACTTAGAAACAAAATTAGAATAGTAGACTATTTTGTATTAGAATTTAACAAAATTTTGTGGTGTGACTGAGGTCCTATTCAATGGGTATTCTGTAGAAGACATGTGCCGCCTTTTCCGTACTACGTTTCCGTCATAAATGTCTGCACATTAGTTTCAAAGTAATCTAAAGAATCGAATGCGAGTGCATTTGCATAAATTCACTGTTTCAATCCTGCGTATGTTTCAGTATTTTAGGTAAAGTTACTTTAGTTCACTGTTTATTTTTCTGATATATTTAAATATTTGATTTTTTATTACTTGTAGATTAAAATATAAGGTATTTTGACAATAAAATAAGAATTACTTTTAAATAATTTTAACTTTGACTTGAAAAAAAAAACCTATTTATTTATATGTAAACACCTCTTTTTTAATTCTATCTAACATACACAAACCCCCTACATAACCCAAATGAAATTTCTAGACATTAGTGAATTCGATTTCAATATTAGTTCGAAAAGAAAAACATATAGCATCTTCATTTAGAAATAGTACATTGATTTGTTACTCTTGCCAAAGTCGAACGTCAAAAACACTATAAGATGATCTGTTTTTATTTTGGGTTTCCATCTCTTCTTGAGACTTGAACAATCTTTGTTAATGTTTTATCCTTCATGGTGGTATTTACCTTGACCCTTTCCATGTCCTTGAGAGGGCATAGAAAGACTTACTTGCCCTTCATATTTTTATTTCAATGAAAACAACAACAAATGCACAAGTGTAATAGAAAACAACCTCATATTTTGAATTCCACCCTCAAGCTCATAGTCTAAACAGTCATTGGAGGAAATGTGGTTTGAAAATGTTGAAGAAATATTTCTTGTCCGCGCATTCAATGAAACATGGCATTATATCTCTAACCCTTTCTTGCTCTTGAGGTTATATATCGATATATTATGTACATCACATTAAATAAGACTAGCCAATTAAAGAAAAGAAATATGCAAATTATTCTTTTACTAGGACTACTTTTGAAAGTAGCTGCCTTGTTCTGTGTTGGAATTGGAAAAGTGACTTTTGTGTCAACTTCAACTAAATATTTGGATTTGATTCGATAGTCAAATTATGAAAATAAATATGTTAACTTGTTCTACTCATTGAGTAAATCGTCGTGATATATTTAGAATCTCCAAATCAATTCCAAGTGAATGAGAAATTACGATCTAAAATTGAAAGGAAAAAGAGAGAAAATTGGCCGGTTATTTATCTAACTCCGTCGCTCGCCTAGCTCTCAAGTGGATAAACTGTCGGTCGAGTAATAGGCTAGCGACAAAGTCTCTATTTCTGACGCTCGAAGGACAAAAGGGCGATAGGCTAGCGACAACAAAACTTGCGACCATTTGCACAGCTTGTTGAGTTTTGGGGCTTAACATTTTACTCACAACCCTTCATCATCTATAAATAAGATCATTGGGATGTCCATTTGGTCATTTCAATGATATGTAATCACAGCATAATATAAAATTCTATAATTTCTTAGCCAAAACTTTACATAAAAGTGTTTTCCATTTCATTAAAAAATGAGTACTATAACCTGATTTTTGGTTCGTTGATTCTTGTGTTTTTGGGAGATGATTGCCATCATCCATAGGCACCATTGTGGGGGCAAATTCGATTTAAGGACAAAGAGTTCAACTCTTACCTAGACATTGCGCCCATTTCTCTTGGCATTAATTTGGCATTCTTTCCCTTGGTGATTATTACGCATTTCCTTTTCGTTACTTTGTTCAATTTTTTGGTAAGGTTGGTAAGTTTGATTTTAGGTTTAAAGTAATCACTCAAATTCAATTTTTACTCAACAATCTTAAGTCGAATTTTTCTGTTGAGTGATAACTTTATATTTCATTTATATTCGGTTAAATTGATTTTGTTTTGGTTTAACTTCTTTTACTCCTTCTCGAATTTTGATTTATTGGTTTATCTTCTATTTCATGTAAACAAAAATGAATATGGTTACTACTATTATTCCTCCGGTTGCGGTTGTCCCTCCTACCGTTCATACTAATTCCTTTTCGCATGGAGAGAAATCAAAGAAGTTTAGTGAAATTGATTTCAAAATATGGCAACAGAAAATATTGTTCTATCTCACGACCTTAAACTTGGCAAAATTCTTAAAAGAAGATGCTTCCACCGTATAAGAAGGGAAAAATAATAGGGCATTGTTGATTGTATTGGATGCTTGGACACATTCCTTCTTCTTATTAAAAAACTACATTTTGAATGGGCTGGAAAACACATTGTATAATGTATATAGTTCAATGAAATTTTCAAATGAACTATAAGAATCCTTGGAGAAGGAATACAAGACTGAAGATGGCAGAACTAAGAAGTTCATTGTGGAAAATTTATTAGACTACAAAATGGTAGATTCAAGGAAGGTTACCAGTCAAGTATAAGAATTGCAGATTATTCTTCATGACATTCACGCCGAAAACATGTCTCTAAATGAATCATTTAAAGTAGCTGCAATTATCGAGAAACTTCTACCCATGTGGAAGGACATCAAGAACTATCTCAAACATAAGCGCAAGGAGTTGAATATTGAAAAACTCATTGTCCGATTGATAATTGAAGAAGAAAACTGAACTTCGGACAATCGTGTTGGGAGTCATATACCACAAGCTAAGGTTAATATGGTGGAATCAAGTAACAAAGTAAGAAAA